CTCCCCCATCCCATGCCTGGGGGGGAGTGAGAGAGCGGCTGCGTGGGGCTGAGCTGCTGGCTGGGGTTAAACTATCAACTTTACAAAATATTGTTGCAAGGCAGGATATATGCCTAATAAACCATTTATGCCAGATTATTTTGTTAAACTCCTGGGATTTTTACATCACTAAGACTTTCAATTTACTTATCTCACTGTGTTCCTCCTCTTTTGGCTTGCTTTGGCTGTATGTATTGTATTTTGCTCATCTTTGTGGAAGAGTGCTTTTCAGGGCTAGCCTCTATATTATTGCGATGGCCTTCAAGATACTCTCTGCCTTCCTTTGTTTTCTTATAAGCTGCTCCACAAAGAGCTGAGAGATCTTAAAGTGTCTCTTAAAACATGACACTAGAATTCTGGTTAAGCTTGCCAAGATTCCTGTGTTAACAACCCTGTTTTATTCAGGTAGGTACAGATTTTTCCATGCCCCCGCCCCTTACGCACTCTATTTATTTAGTTCTTTTATGCAAATTCCTGTACCTTTCACAATGGATTGTGACTCACTTCAAACCCTCTTTCTTTTTCCTTCCCTCTCTCCACACCACGGCTGACAATATTTACTCAGTTTCTTTAGAACATCTAAAGAGCATGAATTCTAATGTTTGAAGTTGGATCATTTTTGATTAATTAAATATATATTATGGTGGTGCCAGCAGCATGACTATAATTAAAGCTGTATTGGATTTTTTTTTTTAATCAAAAGCTGATTCTCAAGTGTTCGCTCACTCCTATATGTGCTTGCTTCCTCCCTCTCTCGCTCCTTGTCTTTCCTCTCCCCCCCCCATCTGCGTTCACTTCTGTGCAAACTCTCATCCACCCATTATCTCTCACACCTGCACTCCCAATTGCTCATGTTCTGTGGCAAATCCTCCTCACTTGTCAGAAGGGCAGGATGCAAAGGGCATCCCTTCGAAAAGCAGCCCGCACCAGCCGCTCATCTGGTCTCCTCCCATCACAGCCGCTACACAACTCCAGGAGGGCAAAGCTAAAAGATGAAGCCATGCTATGGAGAAAGGGGTTAACCTGAATACATGGGCCAGCTCCACCCATGAGGGCAAGCTTCAGATACCTCAGCCCCTTAGAAAGACAACGTGCCCACCACCACACAAGCCCCTCCACAGGCAGCAAGTCTGTATTTCAGTGAGCTAAGAGACACATCTAGGCTGTTTGAGGTGTCACAAACAGTAACACCAAACACTAAGACATGCTAAAGTTTACACCATGACACTGCAATGACACTCACATTACTTGGAGTCTATTTCCTCTCTCAAAGTGCCCCAAACAAGTCGAGCACGAAGCACTAAATGTGCAGTGCTGCCCTTTATTCAAAGCTATTCCTTCTCTCAACACTGCACAGCTTATTACAACCAACCATTGTGATTTCTGCAAAATCCAAGCAAAAATCCATCAGGATTTTTTTTTTTCCCCCAAGAAACATTTTATAGGGACAGAGAAAACGTGGCTGATGAAAGCAAGCAGAAAATCCCTGCACATCCGTAGCGTAATCCAAATAGCTCCTGTAAGCACATCCTAGAAACCTCAGCTCTCAAAACACAGCTGCGACCTTGTGGCATGCTCCATGTGACAGGACGTTCGTACAACCTCACCCGAGCATAAAGCTTTGCTGTTGTGGATGCAGTTGTGGGCCAGAGCCTGTCTCTCTAATGTCTCAGGTCACTAAAGGGACACCATCAGTGTGAAACCAGGCCAATGATAACAGATTTTGAAAGTAATTTGAAATGCTACTAGTTCCCCAAACAGAAATGAGCAATGCCTTTGTTGTCACATGCTCCTGTATTTTAAAAAAGTTTTCCAAACATCTTTCTGAATAGCATGATACCAAAGGAAGATAGTAGGTACACAAAGGGAAGATTAACGCAGGCCTGAATCTCACTGTTGTAGTGACTCCATTTTGGATGGGAGAACTTCATGGAATTAAAAGCCTCAACTGAAGAGCTATGCTGTCAATCTGCAACAACAGGGGCCCATATTTTCAGAAGAGTCAACAACTAAATAATGACAAAAACCAAGAAGTACTTGTTTGCAAATAATCAGCATTTCTTTGGCACTGTATGTAGCAGCTTGCCTGTCAGTTATTCAAATATAAAAAGTACTTTAAATATCATCCTTCAAAATGTATAGGTATCTGAATATTATAGTTATGAATCTAAACAGAAGCAACATTCTGGGCCCAGAGTATCAGATTATATTTTTTTATGATCTGAAAACCATCTTAACTACGCGTCTATAAACTACTCATTTCTGAGAGATGCAAGACCCTTACATACAATCTTCTGTTGTCAGTTAATGAACAGAAGCACATAATTGTTCTGTACTTCACAAGATAAAGCAAAGCAACAGTAGGAGAGGTAAGATAGATACTGTAATAATGCATGCCAAATGAATATGCTTAACATTCTTAGAAATTTGTTTTCTTAAAATGACAGTTCTGCAGATGTTACAGTCAACAAACACCGCTAACAAAACAATAATGCCTGCACAATCTCAGAAGGTTTAAAAAAAAATTGTTATAAAAACAGTTCTCATAAAAGCATTGGTAATGAACAAATCCAGGTTTCCTAAGATTTAAAAATAGTTGCAAGAAGGTAATATTTTATACACAGACTGGTAATAGTCTTGAAAAAATCCAAATGAATACTTAGTAAACATAGGCAACATTTTGTTTAACAACTTTTGGTCACTAATAAATGCCTCTATCTTTAATAAATTTGAATGGAATTTGCAGATCTCATTTTTATTTCTGAAAAACCACAGTGAGCCTTTGATCAAAATGTAAATGGCCCAATGGCACTGAAGCCATGGCAAAGGCAGGTGTCCAGTTCTGCTCAGCAGAGGAATTTGGGCTCCATCCCACAAAGCTCTGTGGGGTTTGGATTGGGCTTTGGAGGGGGCTGTCTATGCAGTCTCTTGATTTCAGAAATCACTCTTGAGTGATTTCTCTCCCACATCTCTTGACTCTAACAGCATCCTGAAAAGTCCATTTCTATACTTAAAATTTTGGGGTTAACAGGACATTTTAATAATTAGTAAATAATTTTCATTTCTATGGTTTCTGATTCCCTCGGGTGGAAAATGTGTCAGCTGCTTTAGTTTTGCCTGAATTACAGTTACATTTTCAACATGTGGTAGAGACACTGACAACAATAGGCAGGAGACTGTGTATATATACAAGTTACATAAATTTAAATTTACTTCAGTTACAAGTTGACTCATCAAATGATTGAAGCTTCAGTAGTGGAATTGATAAGCATTAGTTTATCCAAAACTAGGTTATATCATATACCTGTATGAATGAAAGAATCTGCCAAAGCTTAATACACTTGAATTTGCAAGTACTTTTCTCCTTCAGGATGAGCACCCAGCCCTGCTATCCAAATGCAAATCTTCCTCTTAACAGAAATTGACCTGTACCTAGAAGTTACTAGGTTTCTGCCAAGCTAGCTCCATCAATGAGTTTCCCAAAGGGTCAATGGGGTGACCTTGCAAAGGAGAGAACAAGAAAGAGTCACAAAAGGTGGAATGAGGAGAAAGCAAGCCAGTACCTTGGCCCAGGCACTGTAAAGTTCTCCAACATTTGTACATGACACAGAGACAGAGAGTGAGTGCAAGCAACATTTGGGTTGACTTCCCTACCTCTAGCTTCCAGATTTTCAAATTTACTTAACAGTTTATCTCAAATTCCCCAAAATTTGTTTTGTTTAAAATGCTGCTATATGATTCTGTTCATATCCAAAACACTCAAATACCCAGCAAAACCCACAAGATTAACAGAACACTGTAAGCCTATTTGCTGTTTTCTATACAGGTTCAAAATATATATATGCTGTTGCTTACGATCACTGACTGAATGCATTTAGCTGTACAGGAGTTATCACATACAATTTTTAATTTTTTTGGAGAGCAAAACAGCAGCAGCAAACACAAAAAGTGAAAGACTCTCTACGCAGGCAAAGCTGACATCCCGAAGGCTAAATACCTGCTTGCTGGCAACCATGGTTTCAAAAATCTAAAACCTACTTCATAACAGATGTCAGATGTTTCCCTTATTTACAATATTTCAGTACTGATGACTCATGTAATTTTGATATATAATGGCTTTCTTTAAACCTGCGGTCCCTGAAAAATTATTACTTAGGAAGCCCAACTTTTATTAAAGAAAATACTGATGCATGGCTTGGGATGGAAAAACTTGAAAATATAACCCTAGTGCAGACCTCTCAAAATCCAGACTCAAACAGAAAAAGCACATGGGGGGGTGGGGGGGAAGCAAACAAACTCACGATTTTATAGGGCTTCAGTCTATCAACAGAATGAAAGTTTGTCAGCATTTTCTAAGGCAAACATCGCCAGCCACAAGCCATCAGAGCAACCACTAGCCATTCCATAATGCCACCCAGTAACTCATTTTCCTCTTTGGGAGTTTATACCCTTTCTAGAATGAGGAAACAATTTTTTTTCAGCTTGAATGCTCCCTGCAATAGGTTATTTAAAAGGCATATGTTAAATAGGATGCAAACACAAATCTCAACTAATACTGTATTCTACAACACTGTTTTTGTGAGTTCATGTATTTTTCAGGAAAAACACAGTGCCTCAAATTATATCACTAGAAAGGCAGCTAATCCTTCCCAGATCCAACCACTACATATACCACATTGAAATGTTGTGGCTGACTAAGCCCATTATAAATTTAAAGACTCGCTTTAGAAGAGGAAAGAGGTAAGACTGCATGGATAATTCTGAAGTGCTTTATAAATGCTGCTGAAACAGTAAACCCATTTTACGGATGAAGTACAGATGTTACCTAAGCAGTACGTGGACATTCAAAGACATCTTTTGTTATGAGAGCTAGGAATTGAAATCAAGTCATCTAAGCCAGTAGGTTTGGGCCCAGTTGCAATGTCTTCATTTAACAAGAACCCTTCTTTTTGACTACTCACCTCTTGTGCAAATGACTCTGCTTTCTTCCGCAGGTTCTTTTCCAGTTCAAAGTTTACATGAAGCTCTTCATATTCCTCTACCGCCAGCACAGACACTGTTTATAAAACAAAATCAGAAGTAAAAGTGGAATGGATCAAAGGAAGAAGAAAGTACAGCTTGATTTACCCAGATAAGCTGTTATTCCCTAGTACCATGAACCCTTCAATGAAGGTATAAGAGAGTTTCACATTTCTGTATACAGTCTGCTTCGCAATATCTGTTCTGTTTGCTCTAAACCTAACTAAATATATGCACATTTACTGATCTTCTGAATAGAGTAATACTCCTCCTGTCCAGACTCAAAATCTCCAGTAACAGGCATCATGTAGCACAAATCATATTTTCCCTCTTTAGGTGTAAGCGACCAAAGCCTCAAGAGAGCCTTGCTGAAACTATCGAAGATTGCTATGTTATTTTGGAGGCACCTGTATTTGCCTTCCTGTTTTGAGTGTGGCTTGATGTGTCCCTTTACAACACAGATTTAAAGGAGCCTCAAGAAGAAAGCAGTGCAATTTTCTGATGCCTGTATTTAAACCATGCTCATAAAAGCAAGGCTCATATGGGTGGCTAAAGCTAACCATGGGGCATGCTTCCCCAAACCATTCTGAACAGGCTTTAATCCAGGACAGCAAGGATTGCCTATAAGTACTCAAGTATCATTTATTCTTAACACGTCTCAGTGACTCCTTGAATTATCTTGATAAGCTTTAGCTCTTACTGGCTGAAGACTAGTTTGCAGGGTGATGACGTGAGATTTCTAACTGTTGTACACAAGTTCCTTGCTTATCTGGAGACGAGCACACCAGTTTTAAAGCTATGTACAGTTAAGTGGTACTTTAGACAGTGGGATACATATCCCAGCCCACCTGACTCTCAAAATTTCATTAACTTAAAAAAAACCCCAAACAACACAAACCACACAAGAAAACCCAGCAAACAACCCCCACACTTAGAAAGACTTAAGATAAATTCACCAACTCTGACTGAAATGTACTAACTACACAGCTCCAAGACAGTGCCACATAAGACACAGAATAGAGTAGGTATTGAATAGATACTTTGGTAGCTCATTTCAAGCATAGAAGAAAAAAATAAAAATCTTGCTTTATGTTGCCTGTGCATTAGGACCTAGCCTGACAGAACTCCTCCTTCCTGAAAAACAGGCAAATGTGAAACAAAGGGTTGTTCTTTTGATCATGCTTAGAAAAAAGAAAACCTTTCAGAAACTTTTCATCTGCCACACTATCCCGTCAAAAGCTTCTTCAAGCTGATCTGTCTGATCGACCTATCTGAAGTTGGGTGTTTTAAGTACTACCTGTCATAGGCTTAAGCAATGCAGACACATGGAAGAGGTAAGAGATGAACGGTATAAGCCCCACTATATCTTGGCCAGATCCATTGTCTTCCACTTTAGGAAAATGTGAAACAGCCAAGGAGACTTTTAACCAAACAATTTTTAATTTTACAAGACTAAATAAGCAACAAGAGAAAAGGGCACAGTAATCCAAGGCACTAAAATCTTTCCCCTGCCCTCTAAACTTCTTTCGGGTCAACTATTTCTCATGTGGAAGCACTCACCTTCATTAAGCAAAAGCTTTCCTTTTCTAAGCTGTATCTCTTTTTAGACTTTCCCTGCCTTGGTTTTACCGCTCATCTCCTTCCAGAAACAGAAAGTCTCTGCTTTCCTTCCATAACTTGGAAATCCTAATTATCGCATTCCCAGCACTCTTGCCTTTTTCTCATCATCTTCTGAACATACAAAAAGCTGCTTCCAAGTCTTTATTAGCTGTGCCTCAACTAAAAGGAAGGTTGATGTAATGATTCAGGAAAACAGGAGATTAAGGTTCAAACTCCATCTCTGTGAAGGACTGCCTTCCTGCCCTAGTTTGCCACTTGTGTCACAGAGCAAAAAAGTTTTCCTGTTCTCACATACAAGCTGTTATTTACACTGTCACATTTTCCTAGAGTAGAGATAGTCTAGAATAGTCCATGTGTTTATGCAGTCCCTGCAGCAATGACGCTGAGTGTCAGATCTGGACCACAGTCACTCTTCTGTAACCTAGTCTTTGTACTAAAACATAAAAGCTCTGAAGCTTCTTCAAAGGATGTAGCAAACTGTTAGAGAACCTGCTGAGACGACACACCTCTGTTACACTTCTCCAACAGTTTTTGCTGCTTATTAACTTCTGTTGTCAGAATAGTCTTTTCTTCTTTCACTTTATTCACCTAGAAAAGGATGAAGAACAAATCAAAAGAGTATTTTAGTTAGTGGCATAAGGCATATAGCACATATATAATACAAGCAACATTTTGCTTTTAGTAATTCCACTTCTTAGGTTTGTCTTGATGCTAGGGTTTCCAGTTGGATGGAAAGCATTTTTACCCCAACTTACTGACCTTGTAACAGATGTCATAAAAGGGTTACGAACTAATCCTCTCATGGCCCATTCGCATGGCACGTACCAGTCACAGCTGGAAATATAACATCTTTGGAACCTTTCAGGATCAGGCGCCATAGCACCTGGTTGAAAAGTTACTAGCTTGCCCTTGACTGTTTGCGTTTTAATACAGTCAGGCTGCTGTTTTGTTTTTTTTTCCTGGGCTCTGTTTATTGTCCAAGAGCTGTCAGCTGTGTCTTTCTGAATGCAAGTGTTGCATAGACAGGAAGAGCCACTAAGTCCTGATTTGCATCAGTACATGGCTTATCCAGTTTTCAAGCAGGACTCTGCTGGCTCAAAAAGCCAATTTGCTGGTCTAATTACCATGACAGGGCACTGCCAATGGATAAACTCAAGGATATGCTCAATGAAGTAGCACCAGTGATTAAACTGGACATTCTCCAAAAGTATTTCTTGCACATCTACAGGTTTAAGGAAATCCAAAAAAAACCCTGCAGGCTGTGATGGGTGAGGGGCTGTCAGGAAGGGGAGATGACAGTTATAATATGGGCATTGGAACAGATTATGAAAAGTCATGTGCCAACAACAGCAGCAGACTGGACTTCAATGTAGAAGGCCCCTTCTAGGCATACGCCCTAAGGGGTCCACCATACAGGAAGGCCGGCAGGACTTGCGATTAGATAGTATTCAATTAACTTCACAACTGAGTGTTTTTAGCAAAATTAGATACAAAAAGTACTGACTACACACTAACGTGGTCTCGCCTTCCATGGTACAATACATACTTCTTCAATTACTTCTACAAGTTTGCACCTCAGGTTTTCCAGTTCAATGGCTAAGGTCTTCTTTTCCTCATGAACAGATATGATTTGATCTCGCAGCTCTACAGTTTGAGGAAGGAAATGAAAAATGTATTTTATTCTTGGAAGAAAACAACAAAAGAAATGTCATAGCAATGCAAGTACGAAACACCTTAACTGCATACAAAGCATCCGTTGTATTCAAGGTACATCCTCAATAATTTAGGAACTTCACACAAGCATCAAGTAACAGATCTATAACTGGGCCACAGTTTCAGATTTACTCTATTGAGGTAAGCTGCCTTGTTCAGTACTGCTGTCTTAATTTGCATTCTGAATGATTCATTTCCTGCTATAACAAGGCCAATCCTGCCACCACAGAGTGTCCTCAGTCCTACTCAGGAGACTGTCACATCACAGAGACTCTGGTAGGGAGGTAGCAGAAAGCAATTTTTAATAGGCGTCCTTTAAAACAAATTAACGCACTTCAATTCTTTTTGGATCATGAGTTCTTGTCACAAGGGAAATAAACAAAACAACAGGCAGTTAATACTTGGGAGGTTTTCACTGAAGAAATTGTCCTGAACAGCTGCCAATTTATAGTCCTTGTAACATTATGTGAACAGAGTCAGAATATAACCTTTACTGATGGAAGAGCTAATGCTTGTAATTTTCCCCTCAGAATTTTTGTTCCTTAATTATCAAAATATGAAATAAATTAAATTCACAATGGAATAAAACATTTGATTATAATCACTTCTTAACAGGAGATCAGTCTGTATACATAATATATCAAGGTTTAGGTTAACATAAAAACACCACAAAAATATAAATTTATTGATATATATTAGCTTCCAGTAAGTGCTCTCATTCCCCACCTGCTTCCAGTATTTCATAGCACTGCTGTTCACTGAATACCAGCCACAAGTTGAGAAAATTGTGGCTAATCAATTGCAGATGATGATGACATACTGGATGTCATTCTGTTTGGTCTCACATCTTGAAAATGTTGATTCTACCCCAGCGCTGCCCTCCTCCCCCAATTCAGGAGCCTCAGATTTTCCTCCAAATTAAAGGCACACACATTCTAAAGTAAATAAAAAGACCTGTTTTTCCAGGAGACTCTTGAACCAAATCATCTGTTTTATGGATTTGCGTTTTTGAGTGAAATTAACGGGGAAAAAGGTCTCAGTGAAATTTATGGTAACTGAATTAAGTCAGGTCTTACAATATATCAACCTCATTATCCAGAGAAGAAAGCACATCCATATACCTAAATCTTTAAAACTGTGTATAATAAATGTTTCTTTTCAGATACAGGGTGCGCACTAAACTGCTTGACCAACATGGCTGAGTTTTCAGTTCTTTAGCTGTCCTTTTTGGATATAGCAAAAGAACAACAAACCCAAAACCTATAAATGAATTTCAGGTACTGGTCTGAGACCACTCTACATTTTCATTAGGAACTACAGCTTTACTATCACCTCTCCCTAATGTATGAGATATCTTCTTCTTTTTTTGCTATCTAAGAGATAAAATTTTATCACTTTAATAAATGAGAGAGTGTTCATCAAAGAGCCTCAGACTATACTACGTCATTTGTATATCCTTACAGAAAAGTAGTTGGAGGGAGGGAACCATTCTGAGAAACATCCAATATTTTGTTGAATGGTGAGAAGACTGAAAGACTTCCAAGATCCCCAACACAAAACACAAATGTTTGCAACCATAAACATGCATAGAAGGGCAGATTTCACCTTGGGCAACACCACAAAGCATTAAGGGGAGTTTTGAAAACACTTCTTTCATTGCATACAGTCTTTCACTTAGCAGGTAATCCAAGATGTAACTTCAGATTTTTCCCTGAAGACAAATGCCACGCAGCTTGGCTTAGGTCTGGGACACAGCCCTAACACTGCCTTTTGGTACCCGTTGTCAGATCACTCTGCTATTGTACACATACAGATGCTTCTCTCCAGGCACAGTGATGGAATATCTTCTCCTATAGCAAATGGGATGCCAATGCTTTTAAAAATACTCAGCACTTCTAAAAGTAAGGTCATTAACATTTAATACGGCTAGAGAGAGGAGTAGAAGCCAGGAGTTCTAAATCCTTTACAGCATGCCACATTTCGTTCTTTAATGAATTCTTCATTAAGACAAAAAGCATATGCATCAGAGCCTGTCTAAAATATTTCTCTAATTTGACCCTGCTACCCTCCTAACCATGCTCTCCTCCGATCTGCAGCCAGAGCCTTTGCTCTCTTTGAATCCATCCTTGAGATCTTTCTCCAGTAAAATACAGAAGGAACTCGCAGTCTTATTTCCGATTGAGATGGGTTGCATGGCATGGATCTCACCGATCTCTGCTCCTTTTCCTACATCTATAGGATGGAAAACTTCTTATACTATGACATACTATTTCTTGGGTGGGATTTTTTTAAAGCATTTTTACAACTTTTTCTTTTTTCTCAGTGATATTTTGTACGACTTCATTGAGGCTGCTCCACTCAAACAGAAAACAATTAACAAGGTCAGGCTGAAAGTTCAGGAAAGCTGTACTTAGACATCATTTGCTATTGTAACTTACTATCAGAAAAAAGTGAAAGCTTTTTTTTTTTAAAAAAAAAGTAAACCACTTGATCTCTCTCACTGTCACCAAATGCAGAATGTGGGCATTCCCCTTTTTTGATACTATGATATAACAACATATAGAATCACGATGACTTCATTACAGAGTGAGATGAGAAAGGAGGGCAGATTTGAGATTACAGAAATAGGAACTGTCTTTCCAAAAAGAACCAGAAATTTCTTAATAAGGCACAGAATTCTCTTATCAATGTATTTCCATGTTCCCAAGCTTTGCCATTTTACCCAGTACAACAGTCCCTTTTTAAGTTGCTTGTTTGGTAAGAGCTCTGGAATATGAATGAAGTTTGTGCACACAAAGGTACAGAATGGAAATAGAAATGTAGAGTCCTGTCTTACAAGCTCTGAAATAGTGACATTGCAGTTGAAGCAATACCAAGGTGACCTTGTCCTTCTGCTTAATTTTCACTTTGTTAAGGATCTGAGGAAACATTTCTTTTACCGACTTAGTAACATGGAACTCTCTTAGATCTGTAGATCTCATTTTCCTGTTGCATTGTAACTTACTTTGCAGGCTGTATATTCACGATACACATTGCACAGTATCACTATGAGCCTGCCATGTTCTTACAGTCTTTCCTGGAAATCCTTTGATGACCACTCTCAGAAGCATGACTCGGAGCCAGACATATCTCTGGTCTAAACCAATACTGCCATTCTTTAGATAACTTTTGTCTTGTATCGTGGTGTAGGCTCAGCAACAATGCTCACCTTTTATTTGCTGCTGACAATGCACAGAATTGCACGATCCAGAGCTGGCTTCCGTATCTGTGGATGAATCGTCCTCATCAATGTTAATCTCTTCAGTGATAATTTCTGGGCCCAGTTTTGCCATATAAAGCATACTAATTCTTTTCAAGGTCTTATTTTCTTTGTTCAGCTGAAAGTTGAGAAGCAGAAACAGTAAGCTAGTTAGTCTGTCTTTAAGATGCTGTGCAAGGAAAAAAAAAAGTCAACTGCATTTTTTTCCTCCCTTATTAAAAGATATATCAAACAAAGAAGACAAAGTAACATTAGATTAAATGCTCTATTCAACATTAAAATGGTCTGAAGATGGGAAGCTTGTCCACTTTCTCCTCTGAGGAGTCTTGAATTCAACATGATGCTTCATCTATGCCCTTCTTTCCTCTCTGGTACTTCTGATTAATAAATACTCTGTGTAGGTTTAAATGAAATCAACTATCAAGCTTACTTAACGCTACACATTCTTCATGATAGCTGCTTCAGCTCCTTACCCTTAAGCATGTACCAACATCAACAGGAGCCCTAAGTGAATGACCTGAAGAAGGACTTGTGTTCCTGAAAGCTCGTATGGTTTTGCCAGCTATATCCATTGGTGAAATGAAAACTTTTATCTCCTCCTATGCCCTTATTTTGCTTATAAACTACAAACACCACAACCACTATACTCCCAGTCGTGACAGAATTACCTCGAAATGCTTTTGAATTATTTTCAATTCTCAGGAATTATTACTGTAGAGTCAACATACGTAACATGAAAGCTGTATCATAAACCAATTCTTTATGGGTCAAACCACAAGTCAGAAACCACGCTAGGTTGGATGCTTAAACACATGACTGGCTGATGGATGATACAGAAGAGGTTCTGTAAGGCATCTCCGTCCTGATCAAGGTGCCAGGAAACACTGAACAACACGGATTGCTGCCAACGTTTCACTCTCACCATTTCTTTCACTGTCCTGCATTTAGACACCCCATGCCAGCAGCTCTCAGCAAGCTCAGCACAGTCTCAGGGGTGTTCAGGCATATGTTGGGGAGACTGCCCACCTACCAGCCAAGCATTCCCTGTATTCAGGTCTAAGAATGAGACTGAATTTTCTGCTAGTGACATACAACACGTCAAAGTCAACATGCACTTCAGAAGTCCAATATTTACCTTCAAATAAAACATATACTGTACAGTTAGGCTGACCCTGAATTTTTACCTGTGCAGTCATCTTTGATCCCCTTTTTCCTCAGCCCCCCAACTACGGGAGATTTACTCGTGAACTTCTTCATCTCATTCCCAAAGAATGAAACTGAGCAAGTGGGAAGAGTGGCATGAGGAACCTTACATGGTTTAGTCAGCTCACAGCAACAAACTAATCAGCTTTGGCAAAGCTGCCCCACAGGGTAAAGCTAGTCTTTGAACTGCCCCTGTAGGTGCATTACAGGAAAAGTGCAGAAAAGAAGAAAAGTTGCATAAATATGTTCATTTTCTTACTTATATGCTGATTGTCTATCTTATGAATTCTAATATAGTGTCATTATGCAAACAATTAAGTAAATACCTCCAGAAAGTACATTGCTAATGCATCTAAATTAAAGTGATTTCTTGCTGGTGTGATTTTTACCATATCTAAGGACGTACTTTGGGCAGCGGATGGGGAGGGGAGGGGGAAAGAAAAAGAAAAAAAAAAAAGGCAGTCAGCATTGCTAATGAAATTTGGTTCAAAATTGCTGTAATCCATTTTCTGATGAAGTGGCTCAGATGCATTTTACACAACCAAAAATATATAAGAGAGATAAAAACATTCTTTAATAATAATGCACTTCTGATGAGATGGAATATAGAAAATTACACACTTGCTAAATTCATCAGACTAGACGCAATCAACAGAGCAGCGGAGGTCACCTTTCTCCTGCCCTTGCTTTGCTTTCATAAACAATCACCTGAAATGTAATGCAGTGGTTGACTTTTTCCATTTGATTTAGACACCGAAATGCTCATTATTGTTTTATATCTCACAGGACAGTTCTAAAACTTGTTTTCCATTTAACCTAAATGCATATAAAAACTAGATATATATTGGTCCATGACTTACTGTTCCAAAATAAAAACTTAATAGAAATTAAAACTTTTTTTTTCTTTAAAAGCAGGAATTGTATTTTGCATCTTGCATATGGCTTATAGTTTTTGCCACTTCAAACAATTTCACAGATCTGCAAGATTATACAAAAACATATATGTGACATGCACACAATCTCAAGTTTAAAAATAAAAAAATAAAAAAAAGAAATCAGATGAAATAGAATCACCATAATTCTTCTCACCTTAGAAGCCAAAGCCTCAGCACTTTCACGGCACGTCTTCTCAATTTCAAGATGGTTCTGAATACAGTTTACTTCCTCAATAACCATGTGAGAAACTAAGGGAAGAGTTTAAAAATTATCAGTATTTTCCTGCATTTGACACAGGCACTTGACACATGCATCCCATGATCAGAAATATTACATCATCTTCTGTTAACTTTCTATGTAAGCATTTCAAATACAGGGAAGCACATACTTAGATAATCTCCATGGATAGGAACTGTTTTGAACATTGAATATTTGGTTCGCTGCTTTAAGCAACTCTTTTAAGCCATGCAGCATTAGAGGGGGAACTGGAGAACTGAGCATGAATTTATGGAAGTAGGAGGCCAGCAGAAGCCTCCCTGACCATCATTATTCATCATCTTTATTTCATTAACACTTGAGGAATCCGATTGAGATCATTAGGACTGTCCCTTAAGATTGTCATCATAATCCTCTTGAAAAGTTGGTACGGACGCTGTTTTCAAAAGATCGGAACCTCAGTATTTTTAAACAGTAAGATTAACTCAGGTGTGTTGCAAAGATTATTTTCACCTTCCGGTCTCCAGGTTTGTATGGTTTTTAAAGTATCATCACACTTGCTAAACACACTGCACAAGAAGAGCTACAGGATGGACGTACAGCACAGGCCTGGAGCAAGTTTACTAGGAAATGGAGAATGGAGTTCAGTGACTGAAGCCTCCATATTCACAGTGCCTTCTACAGCACATGCTCCAATGAAGTCAAATCATTACCACAGCACAGCTCCTTCATCTCATTCTGCCTCATCAGCTTTCAAGCTACCTGCAGCAGCTGGGATACACTCTGATGGATGCAATCCTGACCAAAAAGTCACTCTGAGAACAAATCTTATTTTGTAACATAGGATACCAACGTAAGTTAGAGGAAATGTAAAAGCACAGTTACATTTTGGCTTGCAATTCCCCTCAACTTCCAGCAGTACACAGGTACTTCACTAGCATTGAAAGTCCTCTTCTAAGTGACAAGCTTCAAGGCGTGCAGAGGATCTGGAGCAAAGCAGAAAACCCAACAACAGTTTCCCATTTCTCAGGTTAGCACCTTGCTCATTGATGCAACTCCTCCTTGGCTCCTAGCACCCTTATCCAGCCTAAGCAGCAGCCTGGACTCTAATTCTGCAAGCCATTTCATGGCACAGACTCCTTCTCAGTCCAGCGTCAGGATTTCAACATGCAGAAAGGACTATACGCAGCTGAACAATACTTTGGGGACAGGAACAAGGCTGGAAGAATACAATGTCAATATGGAAGACTTTTTCTAGTATCTCCTTTCATTTTCATGAACATAAGCTTTAAAACCTAGTGATTTCATACCACTGGGTAGAAAGTCCCACTTAGTCTCTTCCAAGATTTTTGTGTAAATACTGAAGAGAGATACTTAAGTCCTCTTTGATATCCAGAGGTCATCTTAATGACTACAAAACAGGACTTTAGGATAGGAAAAAGCAGGCCATTAACAAGTCTTATTTATGCAGCTTTATAGACACTTAGTCAATATTAACTAATGTTTTTGTTAATAACATCGGAAACCAGCAATATATTGGAGTTTGCTGTCAAATCAGCTGCATGCAAGAAACAAGTTCTACAAAATATGAGCAGATAAAAAAAAAAAAAAGAAAAAGAAAGGGCAGAGTACTGGGAAATCTTGGTCCAAAAACTATATTCACGTGAAGTCTTCTAACAGCAGAGCAACCACACCTCTTTGGTTGTCTTTTTATTTCCGTTTTTTCTGACTTTGGAGAAATTATCTGCTCCAAGCATGCTGTACCAGCTGCGACATTTAATGTGGGAAAGGAAAAGCTTCAGGTAGTACATATCCATATCTCTTCTGTTTTTATTCTACCTAACTCTGAGAATTTGGAGCAATGAAACACTTTGACCAGGATGAGGGAGCAGGAGAGACACAGAGCTGCTCCCATTTTACAGACAGGAATCCAATGGCCTCAAGCAAGGCTAAAGTTAGGAAACAAGGATTGGGCTCACATGGCAGAACTAGGGATTACTCTTGGTTCATTTAAACTTAATTAACCTACAATTATGATTAACTCAGGGGAAAAAAAATCTTTCCAAATTAAATACAAAAAATATATTATTTCCTAAGTCTGTCCAAAGTTCTTATTATGTCAATATTAAAATTCATAAAGCTGCACTAAGTGGCCTGAAACATCTCTAACCTTGACAGTTTTTTTCAGGGGTAATAATAATCCGCAGCAAATGCAGGCCAACCAAAAACCACTTAACTAATTAGTAGTTGCAGTCACCGAGAAAACATGAATCAACACTGTTATTACAAGTGGCACATTTGAGTGGCATCTAATTATGACTTGATGAGCACGATACTTGCATTATCAACATTACTACTGCATCCCATCAGGGACTAAAAGCCGCTGATGGCATTGACTGCGAGAAACTCCCACTCAATGGTACTGCAGCACCCAACAATCTCCTTGGCAGGGGCACCCTCACTAAATGACATGTTAAGCGTAATTACTGGTAGACATTGTAAATAAACAGGATTGGAAGTGAAAATTGTACCAAGTGCATAAGACACAATCTGACACATTGGAAGTGGCAGCCTTAATTGAGAGTTTCTTTGACTGCTCAAGATCATTTCAACTGCATTTCTCGGAGGACAGTGATTATAACTGTGGAGACAGACGGCATAATGGTATCAGCACTGCTGACAGAGCAGTGAATTAAATTGTATCTGCTGTTGTGTGAAAGCCTTGATGAGAGGTACAGATCCTTAGTGGTCTTATCATTATAACACAATGGTCATGTTGTCATCAACCTTGCTGGCTCCAATTGAAAAGAAATGATTGTGTGTTGAAGCTTTCCCCCCCACCACCACCTTCTATCTCTTGTGTTCAATAGAACCAATTTTCAGAGAGCTATGAAATCACGCAATAGGGCCTAAAATGCAGCTGCTTGGCATACAAACGGGGCCCCATTAAACTGGAATCACACACAATATGTGTTTATGCCAGGAGAACAAATAGAAGCTGAGTACAGGCCAAGTTTATTCACAGACACAAAGCCAATGTAGCTCTTCATCAATATAATTGCCTTTTATATTGTCGTTTAAATAATGGGCTCTATTATTGCCTTAAAATCCTAATATTCCTGGCATTTTATCACTATGTTTACAAGGTATGTCCTTTAAAAATGTGAAAGGAAGATAAAAGAAACCTATAAAATTTTACAACATTAAATATTACTTCAAATTTTAAGTCTTAACTACTTGACATTTTCTGCCACACTCTGGTATTCCTCATATCATAACAAAAACAAAACAGGCTGCATTTTTTTCCAGAGGAATTAGACTTCTCAGAGAACATTCTTGCCTCACATAACAGTTACCTGAGATCATTTAAGGTAATAGATGATTCCTGTTGATTTTAGATTATTTTCCATAATTGTATCAGATGAACAATTATAAAATAGAAGTGAGCAAATTCCTCTATTAACAGAGTCACACAAAAGTATAGACCATGTGATTTCCTCCTCCTGCATTAACTTCATCCACATTTCTGATGCTTCCTGGTGCAGTTCACCGTACTGGCACAAACCAGACATAACAGACCACAATCCCATTGTAATTGTCTCTTCTAAGGAGCTATTCCACTAGGATACTTCCACTCCCATTAGATGTGCTTTGTTGCTTCCAGACACCATACAGTTTCAATAGAACCATTACCATAAAAGTGTAAAACTGAATATTGACATTTTCACAGGCCAGACAAGAGGTAACTTGCTCTAAAAATTATCAAGAGACAGCAGTTCATCCTAAAAACCTTTACTGGTGTGTCTAAGCTTAAAGTAATTTTAGTACTTCTTCATTAAAAAATTACCATTATTATTATCAGCAATCTCAGCAATAGGGTCAAATCCCACTCAATCCAAGTATATATCACTCCAAAAGCCACTTGCAGAATCCAGGTGAAGTAGAGCCACATTTGGACCACTGTATTTTTACCACTTTGCACCTTAAGAATGGCTACTTGTGTCAAAGCATACAAATGCTGTGACAGCAGTTAGTCTGACAACCGTCAAAGTCTCACCGGATTAGCTCCTTAAAACAAGGCTTTGAAGGAGAAACAGCAAGTGGACCTGAATCTCAGCATTCTTAACACTGCTGTAGAGTATGCACAGTGATGTTTATAACTTTCTATACCAAAAAAATCCCACTAACATTATCAACTTACTTTTCTGAAACTCCTCCAGTTTTTTGACAGCCTCATCTCGTTCTTGCTTGATTTTGTGACACTGTAGGAGAAGAGAAAATTGAAATGAAACACTGATCCCAGCTATTTAATTAGCAATCAGTCACAACATGCAAAATCAACAAAGACCAATTGCCAGCACAGTAACGTACAGAAGCCTACCAAAGCATCGTTTCTTTTTGCTCTCAGTCATGTAAGATAGATGAAAAATTCCTTACCCAGAGTATTTCCTAACCAAACTGGCAACTTGTACTTGATTTTAGGTTCCAATTCAGAGCTACTCTGAAAATATTTCAGAAGAGCCAGATTTCTTTAAGTCTAGTTTCTTTAACACAAATAAGACTTGGAAAAGACTCCTATATTTCTATGCCTACCATGTGCAAGGAAAATCTTGAAGCCAATAAACAGGGACATGCTCTTCAGTTCATAACATCATGAGCAAAGCTTTGGCCTTGAAGAGTGGAGAACACTCATTTTCACACTTTGAGGATTTCTCATCATCCCAGTTTTGTTAATTTGGAGGTTAATGCTAACACTACAGGCTGCAACCACTGATCTTATGATGGAAATCCTTCTTTGAAGAGAAAGAATAAAACAGATGTTAAATAGACTTCCCCAAGAAAAGCCCTTCTATGAAAGAACTCAAAGAAATGAGTAAACTTCACAAGAGACACAGTCAGTGATTAACCACACTGTGAAAAAACACATGACCCAGGGGGAAGTATGACTGGCACACAACGTGTCGGACACACACAGCGTACCACACATCCTTCCTCACAAGCGCCTGTGTATGTTCACAGTAATAAATCAACGTAAGACCATGAGTTAACTTCTGGAAGAGATCTGTGTGACTGAGCAGTATAACTGCAATTACAAGGATACCAGTCATTGGAATACAATTGGGGGGGGGGGGGGGGGGGGGGAAAAAC